TAAAATAAAATTTCACTGACAGCGTTACTGACAGCGTAAATTTAAAAAATCCTATTAGACCTACTTTGAATGAAAAAACGAATTTATTTGATTACCAATATTTACTTTATAGGCTTTTATACTTTAATTTACTTTATAGACTTGATATGCTACAACCATATAAAACTTGCTCACGTTTTGCTTGCTTCCGCCTGTTCGCGTACACTGTAAAAAAAATCTATTGTAAAATGTCAGTCAAAAGTCTGGCAGGTCCTGAAAACCAATAGTGCTTATGTATATATATGTATAACAGCACAGAAAACTGAGACTCGGTCAGTCAGTGTAAATTAAGGTTATTTTAACTTCCTCCTAAACTGCCGAATCTAACAATAGGAGGGTTAAAGTCATTTACTTACCTTTTTCTTTTCCCGCCTAAACTCCAGGTCCTGAAGCAATGTCGCGCGTTATAACGTTGTCCACGTCCTCTGGGAGCTGGAGGTGCAGCCGGCAGCAGACCAGTACCACGCCGGCCCGACGGAAAAAGCGTCATTAGGCGATTATCCACCGTGTCCACGCTTGCAGTAGCGACAATCGGTTGCTGCCCGATTGTTGACGTTTCTGACAGTGTTCTGATTGTCTCTGCTGAGGCCAATATGGTACTTAATAAAGCTGCTGCCTGCGTAATGCTACTGTTGGACTGAGCGATAAATGCGCGCTTTTTAAAAACAACTTCCTGTTTAAGTGAAATGCCTTCCTGTTTAAGTGAAATGCCTTGCACATATACAAGTGAAAAGCATTCACACATACTACTAGAGCTGGGCGATAAATCAATTTAATCGATTAATTCGAATTTACAGTTCAGGACGATGTGTTTTCATGAAAATTGATTTTATTACTTTTTTTACACACGAGCGCCAAAAGCGGAACTAATGCGACGCACCATTCTTCACGGGTAAATTAGCGCGGCGCACCCAAACACTGTAGCAGATTCACTAACAACATGGCAATGACAGGTGAAAAGCTGGCGCTTGTGCCCAAGAAAAGTGTTGCTACATCTGTAATATGGAATTGGTTCGGTTTTGCGAGGTCGGACACAGACCAAACAAGTCCTCGTTGCAAAGACTTTAAAAACTGTTGCAACCAAAGGAAGCAGCGCGATTAATTTATTCTAGCACGTAAAGCAGAGGCACGCAGCAGAGTGGGAGAAGTGCAGCTCCCAGCGAAATGAAAATAGCCGCAGCACCAGCACAACAAACAAAGTTAAGCAAGCAACCGTCCCTGACACGTTTTCGAACTGTGTGCCATATGATAAGAATGGGGCAAGGTGGAAGGCGATAACAAACGCTGTCGCGATGTATAGTGCAAAAGACATGGTGCCCATACATACTGTGGAAAAGCTGGGATTCATTAACATGCTAAAAGTTTTAGACCCGAAGTACGTGCCTCATTTTTCTTAACACTG